TTGAATGGAATGCGCACGTTCCGCAGGTGAAATCCCTGTAGAAATACCTTCTGCCGCTTCAATGGAGAGCGTAAAGTTGGTGCCATGTTGTGCGCCATTGGCATCGACCATCAATGGAAGATTCAATTGTTTACAGCGATCACGGCTGAGCGTTAAGCACACCAAACCACGTGCGTGGGTGATCATAAAGTTGATGTCTTCTGCGCGAACATGGGTCGCTGCGATAACTAAATCACCTTCATTTTCACGATCTTCGTCATCCATCAGGATGACCATTTTACCTGCACGGATATCTGCAACTAGCTCTTCAACGGTATTGAGCGGCATCAACCTTCACCTTCATCGTTGTCGCCATGGACGACATATCATTTGTTTTCATTGGCACATAGTTTAAGCTTTTTTCAGGCTTTTGCCTATGTGCGAATCATTTCCTTGAGTCGTCCATTGTTATACACAGTCAGTCCCAGCTTGAAAAGATGCCTTTATTTTAAAAAGCTGAAATGTGCTTAGTCTTTAAGCGATTGAAAAGCATAAAAAAGAACAATCTTATCGAAAATAAGTCAATCGGCGTAGTAAATAAGGGGTCTAGACAAATGTTGTGCTATGGGCGGCGTGTGGTTGAGCGTTGGAGTACCTTCTTTTTTGAATTTGACCATCAGGTTCAGTTTTAGCAGGGTACCGTGACTGATGAATCATATTGGGGGATATTTGCGTTTACTCATCGGGTAGAGGGTGGTCCAAAAATATATTGAATATGCCGTAGCGAATAACCAGACGACTCGTCATCTATTTTTGATTTGTACTATAATTCTTCTTTTTTAATCCTCTGGATTATTTCTCCTGTGATGTCCTTACTTGCTCAATATTTTGCACAGCAACAATTTTGCGTATTGGTTGAATACTTAAGCGCACACCAAGCCCAGTGGTCTGTCAAAACTGAATTTGCAGGCTTTCCTGCGGCTATGACGCTGGCCGATCGGGTGCATGCAGATGACGATGAAGCGCCTTTGCAAGTCGCCAAACAGTATCCACAAGAGATTGATAAAGTCATTCACTTT